TCATAGTCGACGACGATCGGTTAAAATTTTAGACAAATAACTAGACTGCAGGATCGAGTCGGCGCGTGACGTTCTATCGCACGGTGTTTTGAGCTTTTCGTGACGAGCTTCTCTTTTCGTTCATCTTGAACCCTTTGAGCTGTTTACTAAGCTGTTTATTATACCAAAAACCACTAGATTCTTTCATCTTTTATTTGTAGATGTAAAATGTAAGGAGTAAAAAGCAAAATGTAACCGAAAGCCACGCTCAAACCGTAAAGCAAGAGGATTATGATTTATTATATGCGCAACATGTGTAAATCGCTATCAGAGTATTTAGCAGATTCGTGGGACGATGCAAAGTAATTTCTGCCTTTCGTGTTAGCTGGACGAGTAATTCTCCAGCGAGTAACTACCGGGTAGACCGTTAGTTTAAGAGTACACATTACTCTATTTAAATAATTTTTATAAGTAAGTTTAATTAAAGATCCGGCAGGTCGTTCGCGTCATGGAAGACGTTTCGCAAGTAAATCGTCCAACAGGAGGTTTTTTTCACTGAAACGTTTTCTCAGCGTGTTTGCGCGTCCCCTCGCTTTTCTCTCCGGCTTCGCGATGAAAAATAAGAACACACGAAAACGACAGAGAGGAATGCAACGAGTTGGATTTCATTATTAAAGAATTGCTCGGGTCGAGGCACGTTCTCAGAAGATACTTTCTCTCAACGATGGAAGAGAACCTCCTTTGATATAACTCGCCGGCAGGCGCTTTACTTTGAAAAAAATCTTATATCGCGGCGTCGGGTCTCGCGCAGACTGAGAATTTCACCAGCAGTTCCAGTGACACTCTACCCTTTACTGCCCTCTAAACTCTATGTGCCGTTGAATCACGCTACTACTGACATCGCAATGCCAGGATGGATCCCAGTCATTCCGCGACTGCGTCCTTTTTTCCATCCTTGCTTCTTCGTAAACTAGATCCTCTTTACAACGAGTCGAATCTTCTCTACCGTACACTAAGCTCTACCCGTCAACGAAGCGATCGCCCATTATCGATACGAAAAAACGAAAATGACTTTGGTTGAGTCAACGACAGTATCGAAGAAATAGAAAGAAAGAGAGTGTTATTATTAATAATAATTTAGAAATTATACAATTTCAGAAGATTTACTTTCGTAGCTAAGTTACTTTTATAATTAGAACACAGGGTACGTGATAAATGATAAGTTGTCTCTGGCTGTTCAAATTATTGTTAGACGTGTAAACGATAACGAAGCCGCGGATATTTGTAACTGCATACCTATATCGTGTATCTGTCAATCGTAAACACCAACTAGTCAGATATTTATGGAAATTCATATTTTTATGGTATATATTTTTATATATTATGCGCATTCTGTGTAACATTTTTCATAAATGCAGGTATCCGCGGATTCGTAGTACAGAGAAAGATATTGGAATGTTTTTCTCACCGGCAACCGCTCACATTTAAGCGATGAAAACAACCTTTGAAGCGGATAGTCAAAAACATGTTTTTTGAAAAATCTCGGATATTACTAGACATGGAAGAATTGTATCAATCGACGAATTTCATGTTTTCCAGTACCAATGAAATTCCAAAGTTATTTCTAAAAAGTTCTTTCACGAGCGCTCCAATACTTTCGCGAGCCACTCGCGATTGCCTTTCGCGATTGCTAAGCAGGAAATTTTAACTAAGAAGAGCAGAATTGACCAGCTGCGGGTGATCCGACGCAAAGACTAAACAGTTTTCCAACCATTCGAATATATCCAACTAATCGAGCAAGCGTCGGGACGAACCGGGCTACGCTGTATCCACGTCATCCGCGTCGATTGTGGTCGATTCCCGATAACTAGCTCCAACTTGCCTGGGATACGTGAGCGAAATTTCTCGATGCAACGAGCCAAACTTTCTCAGAGATTGACGCTTGAACGTCGCCACCGATGCTGCCGCGTCTATTTCGGCCCCGGTACAAGATGCAACCCTATAAACTGCAGCCCTTGTATCCGACACCGTTTCAGCCAGCATTAAACTTGGTCCCTGGCACACAGCAATGCGCGCCCCAACGCCACGTATTTATCGGCCGGATACCAAGTTTCCGATTAAGCGACTGCTCTATCCACGTGAATTACCATCTTTCAGGATAGATAGCTCTCGTCGCCAAGAATCTCAGCTCAGCGGGTTTTCGCAACGATATCCATCAAAATGGACATTGAACCACGCTATCCAATCGCCGTAAGGACATACGATAACTGGTCGTGCGGATACCCAAGCGGAAAGAATAAAAAGAAAAATGAAAACGTTTCCCTGAGAACGAAAACTCCTTGTTGTCCGTAGAGCGCAAGCAATGGGAATCGAATTATTATTCGTTCAACTACCGTCTATGACATATGTATATGGCTATTGTGTGTCATAGAGGTATATTTTACACAAATGTTATTGAACGAATGTGCGATCAGAGGCCGAAGAAACTATAATTCGTGGCTATATTTATGGCAATTTCGTTTTTCGTCTATAAACCATCGAGTTATTTCGCGTCAAGATTGATCTCTCTCATAGGAAGAAGACTAAAAAGAAAACACCCCACTGATTTCGCTAAAGAAATAAAATAGTCAAACTGAAAGATGGTATCCCGTTGGGGATAGCCATCAACATTTTATTTAACGATTAAGTTAGAAAAATTTGGTAAATGTCCAGCTGGACCAATTGCAAAGTACAAATTAAATAATAATAGTAAAAAAAGATTGATCTCGAATTGTTGTAATTACGCGGGATTCCAAACGTGCCATTGCTAGAAAATAATTTTAATTCGAAATACAGGGTGGTTGGTAACTGATGGTACAAGCAGAAAGGGGGTGATTCTACGCGAAAAAAGAAGTCGAAAATATAGAATAAAAATTTTTCGTTCGAGGATTTGTTTTCGAGAAAATCGACTTTGAATTTTCGCTCGGTACGCGTGCACTTTATCACGTCTCGTTATAACGGATCTCACTGTAGATCGTTGTCTCGATGGAAAAATTTAAAAAAGAAAAAAAAAATTTTATTCTATATTTTCGACTTCTTTTTTCGCATAGAATCACCCCCTTTCCGCTTTTACCACCAGTTACCAACCACCCTGTATATCGGACGAGAATACTCGCAAGACACCGTGGAAACGCATGCGCGAATATGCAAGCAATTACACGCGGGAACATAGGAGGAAATTTGAAATAAACGAGGTTAAAAGCATTTACGTGCAACAATACATGGAAATATCCTATGGGAAAACGTGTAAGATATAACATTCGGAAACTCGTAAATTAACTTAGCAGCTAATTTATTATCGAATTTTATTAAAATTTATTATGAATGCGTAAAGAATAGCGTGCAAGAATTCACGTATCATGCATCGTAACGTAGTAACTGTCACTCGCGGAAGCAATTGCGTATCCTATACGCAAAAGCATGCGACTAACATCGCGATACCTGCGGGAATACTGTGTGCAATCAAACGCGAAATCATGCAAATACACGCGAACACATACGATAATCCATGCTTAAATACTCGCGAACACACGCGCTAATACTCTACAGCAGCAACCACACGAGGCCAATCCTTGGACACACAAGGAAGTATACTAGTGACTATCCACGCAAATCCACGATCGTACATCGTAACGTGTGCTAACAAGCGAGTATTCGCTTACAACCATTCAAATCCGCGAATATGTATACTACCGAAGTACGAAAGTACGTTTAGCAATAATTCGATAGTTTCATATGTTTCGTATGGTTCGAAACGAACTGGACTATCTGTGTTGAAGTGATTCTCACTTTTAGAAAAATTTTACAGCGAAAAAAGAAGTCGAAAATATAGAATAAAAATTTTTCGTTCGAGGATTTGTTTTCGAGAAAATCGACTTTGAATTTTCGCTCGGTACGCGTGCACTTTATCACGTCTCGTTATAACGGATCTCACTGTAGATCGTTGTCTCGATGGAAAAATTTAAAAAAGAAAAAAAAAATTTTATTCTATATTTTCGACTTCTTTTTTCGCATAGAATCACCCCCTTTCCGCTTTTACCACCAGTTACCAACCACCCTGTATATCGGACGAGAATACTCGCAAGACACCGTGGAAACGCATGCGCGAATATGCAAGCAATTACACGCGGGAACATAGGAGGAAATTTGAAATAAACGAGGTTAAAAGCATTTACGTGCAACAATACATGGAAATATCCTATGGGAAAACGTGTAAGATATAACATTCGGAAACTCGTAAATTAACTTAGCAGCTAATTTATTATCGAATTTTATTAAAATTTATTATGAATGCGTAAAGAATAGCGTGCAAGAATTCACGTATCATGCATCGTAACGTAGTAACTGTCACTCGCGGAAGCAATTGCGTATCCTATACGCAAAAGCATGCGACTAACATCGCGATACCTGCGGGAATACTGTGTGCAATCAAACGCGAAATCATGCAAATACACGCGAACACATACGATAATCCATGCTTAAATACTCGCGAACACACGCGCTAATACTCTACAGCAGCAACCACACGAGGCCAATCCTTGGACACACAAGGAAGTATACTAGTGACTATCCACGCAAATCCACGATCGTACATCGTAACGTGTGCTAACAAGCGAGTATTCGCTTACAACCATTCAAATCCGCGAATATGTATACTACCGAAGTACGAAAGTACGTTTAGCAATAATTCGATAGTTTCATATGTTTCGTATGGTTCGAAACGAACTGGACTATCTGTGTTGAAGTGATTCTCACTTTTAGAAAAATTTTACATCTTCCCCAGTTCAAACAGACGATAATCACCTATTATAGGTGATATAGTACCACGCCAGAATAATTTACTTATAATTCTCAATGAGAATTGATTGTAAAATTCTTCCAAATAATAAAAAAAAGAAAAAATATCTTCTCTAGTTTTTAGTTTTCTTAGTCCTCGAAGCTATCGAGTATCGTTTAGCTGTAAATCAATTTGAAGGCCTCTCTCAGCCTAATAATCTTCTCCAGGAACGTGTCATGCACAAATGGCGCAGCGGAGTATAGACGGACCAATTTTCGTAATTATATAAATAGAAATTCTACTGTAAAGTAATCTGGAATGGCATACACTGTACTTATACTTATACTTACTTAAATATATTTCTATTATACATTCATCCTGTCTATTCTATACCGAGATAAAACGTCAACAGTGTGTCACGAGATACGCGAATTTCAAGGTAAGCGAAATACATCGTACCGCGTTTGTTAAACGCAAGTAAGAATTTCAGACGATTCAAATGAGCTGACGGTAGAACTATACGTATAATACTCGTACCATGGCGAGGCTAAGTATAAAACACCTGCTACCTTATCGTCGCGACGACGATCTGAGATAAATCTAACTTTGGTAATCCATTGTTCATTAATGTGTTCGAGTTTATTAACATTGACTAAGACGCATTTACCTTTAACGAGAACGAGTAGAGACAAGGACGAATATGAATGTAAATTTCGTTGCTACGAGTTGCAGCGTTCCCATCTCGATCCTAGTTCTATTTCATCAAATGCAAATACGAAACAAGTTTGGTAAAGTAATTTCTTCTCGATAAAAAGGCTTACTCGCGTATAATACGTTAACGATCGAACGAACGACAAGCGGAATTGCGTTAATAGTTCCGTTCATTTTGCACGAAATACACGTAGAAATGGCAGAGAATGCCGGTGTAATTTGGCTAGCACGTAATTTAACCAGGTCGTAGAGAAGGTTATTTTAGTGGACATGGAATATGATAATTCAAGCTTCACGATTTGCATAGAAACCAGAAACAGTAATGTTTGCTCATACCTAAGCAACCGCTTCGTTAAGATGAAAAGAACGTATCTTTGTACGATACAAAGACCGCGTTAAAAGGATTTCCTCGAATAAAGTTGATTTAAGATTCATAAAACTGAAGCTGCCGAGCTACGACTTAATTTCCGCCATTTATATTCACATCGTTCTTCGTTTTTCTTCTAAAGGGTCACGTCATTTTTGATAGTGTGTCAGTAAAATTGCCAGTCACGGGAATGATGCACGCGTGACTGATCTCTAGGCGACTCTAGGAATTAACTTACCTCGTTTATTGATCAATTTACATCGATCCACACAGACTTTTCATTGTTCGCGCCGATGACCGATGACCGACGGATTTGTTAACGCGCTGATCATCGTTCAATATTTACGGCTCTGCATGCTGGTTGAAACTCGTAAGGCAGTATCAATTTAAACTTCATCCTTTTAGAAAAATCGTCCGTCTACTCGCTTCCCATTGATTTATAGCCGGAAAAATATAAAACTTTTAGGAGCAGCAAACGTTAGCCAAGCAAAAATAAATCTTCTCTCGACACTGTATTCTTTATTCTGTGACATACAGTGCTACTTTCAAGTTAAAAAAATGTACCAAATGTCCAGCTGGACAAATTGTAAATTACAAATTAAATAGTAATAAAAAAAATATTCGTAACAATAGCGTACGAATGTTACCAAAGTACAAAATCGGTAAGAAATTAATAACGTTGCTTGGTACGACTCGACGAAGAAAGAAGGATGATACCTGTGTTATCAACAAAATTTCATTTTATTAATTATAGCAATCGTTTTATTTCGGAGTCGTATCCTTTGAAAAATTAGAAAAAGGAATTAGCGTACGAGATTAATCCGACGTCGCGATACGCGTTTCAGTTTCGATGCGAGCATACACTGCCGGTAACAAGTGGCACCAATAATTCACAGACAACGTTATGGATTTACGACTAACGTATGGGACCGGTACGATGATAAAAGTGCGGCGAGTTCCCGCGATACCTCGAAAACGCTAAAGGGCTATGAATATTTAATGAAACGCGGATACTCGCGGGAAAACGTGGACCAGCGGTTCTCGTCTATTGCTTATTTCACGACAAAACTTCCGACTTTCCCGGATACATTAATATCGCGCCTCTATCAAATACGTCGGGGGAACAGCAGTCCGGATATGACTGTCCGTTTTTACGCCGGATACCCGGCCATCGTCCACGAAATCCCGTTGAAAACGCGATCACGCGACTGCCTGTGACTGCAGCGCGTAATACTAGCTTTGTCCAGGACACGCTATCCATCCGTTGCTACCACCTTTTGTTCCAACGCGTTTCTTTTCTCCTTTTGTGTTCGCCAATAGAAACTTAATATTCTTCGCGGATAGAAAGGCCGAGCATTTTATCGCTCGAAGATTAATTTCGGCAGACAAGACGACAAATCGTTGATCGTCTTTTCTCGTTCGATGAGAATTTAGAAGTCGACAACGTTCGAAATACCTACGCTGTTCAAAATAATTCGAAGATCGTGTGATTCTGATTTCTACACTCTTTATATCTGCACAGTTTCCTTCAACGATCATCTTAGTATCGATCGCCATCACGCTACCGAATAACGTATTAATTTATATTTAGAGCTTAGGATCCTTTTCCTTTGCTCTAACTAACTATTCACAGTGATTCGCGATCGTCTAATTATTTAACAGACATTTAAACCGTCATTTTTCGACGTTCGCATTACGGTGATACGTATGCGTACACCGTGGATTTTCTAGAATATTTGAAGATGCGAAAGTTCATAGAACGCGCAAAAATATGAATTTCCATAAATATCCGCGATCTATCTACGATAAAGGTCGTAGCAGCGATCCGGCAATTGTCTCGAGCAGCGAAGAAGGTCCGCGACCACCTTTCAAGCCACGGAATAGAATGTATATGGACCACGGCTCTATTTATGACAAGTATCGATCAATTTTTTACCATAAATATCGATAAATTTTCCTTTTAGTAAGCTGGACAACTTTGGTAGTCTAGACCGTCTGAAGATATATAGGCGTTAAAATGACTTCTAAAGCTTCTTGATGTACGATGGTCCAGCATTGAAATACCACAGCGGCGGGTGAAAACGTCGGCCCTGCAAAAACTTGGAGACACGAAGCTTTATGAATGTTTAATGAAATTGGAATATTCACGGACACCCGGTTCGGTCCGTGGGCTTTCCACAATACTTATTTCGCAATAAAACTTTGCTAGTCCGTGGCCGAATCCCCAGGCACCGGTGTCGCGGCACCAGAAACCACCAACTTTCCCAGGTCTCGCGCTTTCCTCGGTTACTCGGCCGAAAATTGCAATGTGCTTTTAACGCGTCCTATCATCGTAGGATGATGCCAGTAAAAGTAATACCTAGCCGCTGACGTAGCACGGAAAAAAGAAGACTTCTTCGCGCACGTTTACGACTGATTCGCGGATTTCGTCAACTATAGGGCCACGTTTGCGAGCTTTTAATTTCGAGAGAAATACGCTCGCATGAAAAAAAAGCTAGATAAAGTAAACCGTAAAGTTTTTTTGATGCTCTGCTCGATTACAATTGATTTTTTGATGGATATTTGCACGGAGAACAGGCGGATAGAATGCAGGCTTTTCCTTTATGGATGTTATTCTTGCTCTTTAAAGAACTGGGATCGTTTGGATTCCATTATAAAGGTCCCCGACTGTTGAGGAATTTGAAATTTCCTGAAGCGAGTGCTTTCCACGGGACATTAAAATTCTAGCCCTTGCAGCATTTTTTCATCCTACGTTGTACGATACCTTTGGAAATTCACATAAATTTGAATATTATGCCTGGACGCTCGATGTCGATTAAACGACCACATAAGTCGTATTAATGATACCTCGAAATCCTCGATTTGTCGTCTCTCGACGATCCATCAAAGGGTCTAAAAGCCTGGAAATCCGTAGAATTAATCCTTTAAAAGGACGCGTCCGACGAAAGTGTATTTTTTTTACGGAACAATTTTTACTACTCGGACGATGAATCCGATTTCAGAAGAAAGTACCGAGGGAATGTGGTGATTCCATCGACCGATCGGAAATGTTAACGAATCGGGTCGCTCTGAATGCCGTTTCACCAGCACCTACGTAAAAGCCCTTCCGTAAGACGTATGATTCCTGTGGAGTGTCTTTCCTTGCTAGAAGTCGTCGTTCAGTTCGGATGAAATCGACCGAACGATGGGAAATGATCAGATATTGACGCGTTCAATTCGAAACCTTCGATCCTCATAGTATTACGACTCGTGTAAAGATTATTGCGTATTTTTCCTTCGTATTATTTATGACATTTCGCAGTTCATTATTAACGATGTACTCGACAAAATTCCAGGTGAAAAATAGATGTAACCGGATAAAGCTGGAGATGAAAAATTGTACTACATTTGTTAGTTGACGTACTTAGAGTTATATCGCGCATGAATAATGATAATTTTATAGAAATTAATTTGCTTCTGCTGGTCGAACGATATATTTTAATATACAAACTCGCGCGTTAAATTAAACGATTCCTAGCGTAAATGAAAAACATGTAAATGAGAAATGTGCACGAAATGGTTTGTTAAAAAAAGGACTCTGCTCGTAATTATTTTAGTTTATAATCCATTTGCTGTCAGAATCTTTTGTTTTCAAGCCATCGATCTCGGATAGAATGTCTTTTGCAAGCTGTGATATTCCTGACGCTAATTGTAATATCTTTTTCCTTCTTGTTGAGGTTATTAGATGTATAAAGAGAGAAACGCGTGGATAAATTGTAAAGCAGAAAATATATTTTAATACAGAAGCGTAAGTACAAGTAGGAATATAATTTGAACTGGTCCAGATCCACACGCTAGCAGTGTTACCCTATAACCGAAAACCCCAAAGCCATCGTCGCCTGACTACTGTCTATGGTCTACCTTCGTCCCAGTCTATTGTCTATGGCTTCAGTGCTTGAGAAAACTAAAAAGACCGGATGTAGAGTTTTCTTAGAAGTGGTGACCACTTCAACACCCTCCCTAAAATTCTACATCCCTACAAACAAGTATCTCTCAATATTTTTCTAACTCTTGTCGTAAATATCTGAAAATTAATTTGTCAATTCCTTCACAAATACATTTACCAGCCGCCTTTCTCTTTTCCATCCAAATTAATTTATTACAAAAAAAAAAAACTACGAAAAGACTGAACAGATCATGTAGTTTTCTTTTTTTTTTTATAGAAGTGGTAACCACTTCAACACTTCTAATTCTTTTTTCTATACTGTCCGATCGTTAGCTTCGAACCATCGTTAGATCCTCGCAAGATTTTCTGGTATTAATTTTCCGAAATTCTCCAAAATTATCCGATACACAAAAGTGCAGAATTTATAATCTCTGAACAATGTAGCGATGATTCACGGAACGAAAATGCGCACAAAGAATGAAAAATAATACTTGGTAAACTCATTTGCATTTCGTAATTACATTTCATATTCGTAATTTTCTATTGTGGTGTGATATTCTAT